CCAATTTGAAGAGGAAATCTCTAAACGATTCTTTACAAAAAACTTGACTTAAATATTGATATATGTTAATTGAAGTTTTATGTGAAATAAATCCAAAACGAAGCCTGGAATTCAAAACAACATAATTATTAGCAATATATTGGTTGTTGCGAATGAAAGAAATATATCAAATGGATTCAGGTATAACTTTAAGCTGCGAATAAACGATGTACAGTGTCTGGTGTGGTGTACAGTGTGGAATAATTGATACAAACCAAAATAGTGAATAATGAACACACAAGGTCGGGTCCGAACATGGTGCGGACATGATTCGTTTCTTCTATTTTCTACTGTATTGATAATCTCACTTTGTACACCATACCTCGTTTATTAGCACCTTGATTTTAAATTCCTTGAGAATTGGCTTTTCATCTTGTTGTTAAGAAATTGTAAATTCTCTCTCAATTCTAGTGAAGTTTTGGTTTAAATCTGAAAAAACTTATTCCATACATTCTAAGATACGATTGATGAAATTGAGAGTTCCTGGAGAGAGATAGAATGGTATGAAAGTAAGACATGTTGAATGTGTTATATAGAATATGACTGATAGTTTTAAAAAACACAATGATTAAATATTGTTTTAAACTGGTCACTGGAAGGAATTTCTGAAACTTATACGTAATAAAGATGGCATCTTCATGATGTTTCTAAATGCAGAAATTTGATTGGATTGTATGCAAGCAAATACAGTCAATCAGAGCTCATATCGATGTAATCGCTGGCGTACAATCCAATCAAATGGCTGCAATCTGTGATACAAGAACAGTTTATAATGGCTTGACATTGTGAAAATGATTACCATTCTTTATAAAATAACTGATGATAGATTTGGAACTTTGCTGAAATTCAAAGAGATATTTATTTATCTTGGAGGTTTAAGTCAAGATCTGGGGTTTTCAATCTTTTTCTTTCTATTACCATTTTCAGAATCTTTGATCAATTGTTTTACCCCTTCCACCTATAAAATACTTACTATTTCGCAATTTTCCTGCAATCATTTTCATGTTGGAGAATATAGCCTTACGGAATACAAAGACTTAAATATTTATTTTTCAGAGCACTTCAATATCCCCCCCAAACAATTCACTCTTAGCAGGTACTTGACATTCAATGAAATCAAAATGTCTTACTTCAGGGTTAAATGTTACATTTTGGGAAAAATGAAAAGCAGGAAAGTGCTATTTACATTCAGCCTGCCGTTACAACTTCCTTGGCCACTGCTGTTGGGTTAGGGTTAAAAGAAATCTAAAGAAAGTTTTTGTGGTACTTGTTACATGATTTTCAATGTCTCTACCCACAAGGAATAACTCTTAGATTGGTAAAAATGAAAGCTACCAGGAAAGTATCATGTACATTCATTCTGTCATTATAACTCCCTTGACAACATTTAGCTTGTAATATGCTCAAGATAAACCCAAATAGCTTAAAGAAATATTTAAAAAAAAAAAAGGCTACCAGGAAAGTGCTATGTACATTCAGTCTGCCGTTACAACTCTCTTGGCCACTGCGGCTCCTAAAGACCAAAAAAAAAATGACTGAATTGAAGGCATTAAGCTCTTAATGAAAAGAGACCTAAATAGCTAAAAGAAATCTAAAGAAAGTTTTTGTGAGGTACTTGTTACATGATTTTAAATGGAATCTCCAGCAGACTAATTAGTTTTAGAAACAGATTCAAATTTCTTCGGATTTTACTTTCAATTTCTCAAAACTCAGACGTTTCTTTTCACTTCAATTCTCATCTTACTGTGTTTCTTTTCACTTCAATTCTCATCTTACTGTGTTTCTTTTGAATTTATGAAGAAATAAGAGCCTAATCAAAATCAATTCAAACCGAGCGTTTTTACCGATATCTTACTCGTTGTAATATTTATTTGAAGTATGTTACAGACTATAATTCACTGATATATAATGCAAAATCTGAACATTTTCTTCAAATATCCCCTGATAATTTTTATTCCCATTTTGCTTTGAAGATGGATTCACTGTAAAGAATAAAGATATTGATGAAATGGAATAAACATCTACACTAATGGACAATTTCTCTCCAGACTGGGGTGGTTAACTTGACATCTTCTTCCGAGAGAATCCAGCACCAACACTGCACTAGTCAAAGTCTGATGTATTATATCAAAGTCAAATGTATTAAAGTCTGATGTATTAGAGTCTGATGTATTATATCAAAGTCAAATGTATTATGTCAAAGTCTGATGTATTATATCAAAGTCTGACGTATTGTATTGAAACATCAAAGTCTGATGTATTAGAGTCTGATGTATTGTATCAAAGTCTGATGTATTGTATCAAAGTCGGATGTATTATATCAAAGTCTGATGTATTAAAGTCTGATGTATTATATCAAAGTCTGATGTATTGTATCAAAGTCTGATGTATTGTATCAAAGTCAAATGTATTATGTCAAAGTCTGATGTATTAGAGTCTGATGTATTATATCAAAGTCGGATGTATTGTATCAAGGTCTGATGTATTGTATCAAAGTCTGATGTATTGTATCAAAGTCTGATGTATTGTATCAAAGTCTGATGTATTATATCAAAGTCTGATGTATTATATCAAAGTCTGATGTATTGTATCAAGGTCTGATGTATTTTTTCAAAGTCTGATGTATTGTTTCAAAAGTCTGATGTATTATATCAAAGTCTGATGTATTGTTTCAAAGTCTGATGTATTATATCAAAGTCTGATGTATTGTTTTAAAGTCTGATGTATTGTTTCAAAGTCTGATGTATTATATCAAAGTCTGATGTATTGTATCAAAGTCTGATGTATTGTATCAAAGTCTGATGTATTGTATCAAAGTGTATGCAATATACAATAGACCTTATTCATGCATCAATCATATTGAGGCTCTTAACGCAAACATAAAAAAGGTAACGATGAGTCACTGCATAAAATCGCCACCTGAATCTCTGAAATGAGCTCAAAACTAATCATATTTTACATGGTTAAAATTGGAATTGATTCAGTTATTTAATGATACCTTCAGATAAATTTACCTTCACATATTTCTGAGCAAGGCTTGTTTTAGCCTGACTGTTGATCAGGTAGGTGTTTAAGACGTCACATGGGTTATTTCTTCATATGATGCCATTGCCTTACATTAGATGTGTTCAAAACGTGGCATGAATTAAGTCTATAGAGAAAAAGGTTGTCTTAATTCCACCTAAACTATTACCACTGCCATTTCTTTCTGCATGAAAACAGATTAAATTTGTTGATATGGAGTAAAGATTAAGACAAATTGACAGCTTAACGTGGCATTTATCAACTAAATCTTCATTTCACGGAAACAACATCAGGAATCGTGAGCATCGTTAATCTCCTGTTATTAGCTGTGATTGGATGTCAACTGTCACTAAACAGCCAATCAAATGACAAGAAATAAAGCATAGAAATTCAATAAACCGGTAGTAATGGTCGGTCTTGATAGATAAACGAGTTGATTAATTGAAATAAATGACTTCAATTCCCAGCTCTTATCGGAAATTAAATTAATTGTTTGCCAATTTTCTTCTAGTTACTAGATATCAAGGAATCATCTGCTGTCAAGAATCTTTCTATTGTAGAATATTCTTATTTTTGATTTCTCACTCCTAGTAAGTGAGTGAGTGGACCTGATTGCTTTATAGCTCATGGAGTATTTTTATGTTAGTCTTGCCAGATGGGTTATAGGGTACTTTCTTTTCCCACTAATTAGTTTGAATTTCTATCCTATATTTTAAATCAACTGTCCAGATAGCGTTCATTTTAGAAATTTCTCTGAGAAAAATCCAAAGAAATGAAGGATTCCTTTAAATGGATGGTTTCTAGGACAGATTAAAATCATTTTTAAGATCCTATGTTTAAGATGAGAATTTTCTTTAAGCCTATTTTTTTCTGATTTTCCCTCATACTAAAAATGTAGAAAATGAGTTTTAGGCTTATTTAATATTAAGTTTTTTATATTAATCATTTCTTCATTTTATGTAGGACTTATAAGGAGAGATGCTTTTTGTATACATAATATACACAAGATTGCTTTCAGATGATTATTCATTCAGTCATTCTGCCAGATATTTTTTATATGTAAATTTTTTATTTTTAGATATTAACTGTACTTAATTATAGTTCTAACTGAATGACCTATGCCCGTGCTTTTTATTGGAATTCTGTACCAGTATCACCCTCACACTAAATATAATGTGCCCCTACGTCTATGTTCTATGACAAAGGACTGAATGACTGTCACAGACAGGAACCCAGCATCAGTCTTGTATTGTCTACAATGAAGAGAGATAGTGATTGATCAGGGAATTGTTGCTACCCCCCGATCGCCCATACATCTATGTCCTTTGACAAAGGACTGAATGACTGTCACAGACAGGAACATGACAGAAACCCACCCTCAAGCTTGTAAATAGTCTCTCCTAGAGTTTCAATGAAGTAGAGATCGTTATTGATCAGGGCTGGGTAAGAAAGGGGTCATCGAGTTTATTGGATAGTTTGATGAGTTTAAACAATCTTGGTGATCAACATGCAGTTTTTTCCAGTCTCTTATTGAAGGTAGATTGGTTTAACTGGGGATAGGCTTCGACATAAAGCCACAATTCTCTCAGATGTCTTTTGTTTTTTTGTAGGAAGAGGAGATTAGCAAGATTTACAGAACCTTTTTGGTGATATGCATTTCATAATCTCAGAAGTAAATGTTTCTAGAAGAAATATATACACTACTGAGTTGAAAAATAGCAGTTCTGACCAAGCCTCAGAAGCCACCCCTGGCATTTTTTTTCGGGGTCCACATTGAATAGTGCTGTCTCATGAAGAAGATTCTGTTTGCTAGCTGTTTGAATTCATAATCGTGCAACACTCAATAATGTTCAGAGTGGTGATATTAATATGTCAGACACCATTAGACTCCTTTTGTTGCTTTGGAAATACAGTTAAATCCCCTAATCTCTGGTACTATGGCAGCATACTGTTTGTTGTATCCCCTAATCTCTAGTACTATGGCAGCCTTTTGGTTGTTGTACCACCTAATCTCTGGTACTATGGCAGCCTACTGTTTGTTGTATCCCCTAATCTCTGGTACTATGGCAGCCTACTGTTTGTTGTATCCCCTAATCTCTGGTACTATGGCAGCCTTTTGGTTGTTGTACCACCAAATCTCTGATACTATGGCAGCCTACTGTTTGTTGTACCCCTTAATCTCTGATACTATGACAGCCTGCTGGTTGTTGTACTCCCTAATCTCTGGTACTATGGCAGCCTACTGGTTGTTGTTCTCCCTAGTCTCTGATACTATGACAGCCTACTGGTTGTTGTACCCCCTAATCTTTGGTACTATGGCAGACTTCTGGTTGTTGTACTCCCTAATCTCTGGTACTGTGGCAGCCTACTGGTTGTTGTACTCCCTAATCTCTGATACTATGACAGCCTACTGGTTGTTGTACTCCTTAATCTCTGGTACTATGGCAGACTTCTGGTTGTTGCACCCCCTAATCTCTGGTACTGTGGCAGCCATCTGTTTGTTGTATCCCCTAATCTCTGGTACTGTGGCAGCCTACTGGTTGTTGTACTCCCTAATCTCTGATACTATGACAGCCTACTGGTTGTTGTACTCCCTAATCTCTGGTACTATGGCAGACTTCTGGTTGTTGTACCCCCTAATCTCTGGTACTATGGCAGCCATCTGTTTGTTGTATCCCCTAATCTCTGGTACTGTGGCAGCCTACTGTTTGTTGTACCTCCTAATCTCTGGTACTGTGGCAGCCTTCTGTTTGTTGTATCCCCTAATCTCTGGTACTATGGCAGCCTACTGTTTGCTGTACCCACAAATCTTTGGTACTATGGCAGCATACTGTTTGTTGTATCCCCTAATCTCTAGTACTATGGCAGTCTACTGGTTGCCTACTGGTTGTTGTACTCCCTAATCTCTGGTACTATGGCAGCCTACTGTTTGTTGTACCTCCTAATCTCTGGTACTATGGCAGCCTACTGTTTGTTGTACCCCCTAATCTCTGGTACTATGGCAGCCTACTGTTTGTTGTACCCCCTAATCTCTGGTACTATGGCAGCCCACTGTTTGTTGTTGCCCCAGAACTCTTAATACTGTGGTTGTAATTAGGCCAAGAACCATTTATTGAGACTCACCGACTAGACAGACATTAAATACCTATCTAGCTAGCGTATCTAGATTTGTTGATTTTAGAATTTTCACAGACCCACTACAATGTAATACAATGTAATTCTATGTTAGTCAATTGGGTGGGAGATTTTCTACCAAATGTTTCACATAATACCCCACATTTACATCTACTTTACAAAGGTCAGAGGTCAAATTGTCAATTTCTATCCAGTCTGAATTTGTAACTTTTCATTTTAATTTAGTCCAAAACTTTCCGACTCCTCTGTTCCATGGGGTCATACTTGCCAATATATGTGTATCATAAACATCTTAGCTGATTTTTTCATTTATATTTTTTCAGATGGACCCAAAATGAAATCTAATTAGTATTTAACAGGTAAGCTGCTTTTACATTTATTGTCTTTTAAAAGATCCATCAAACTAGACCTTGTTCATATCACAAGGAGAAAATTGATATTGTTCAAACCTTTTTGATTCTTTTAAGTCAACTGAAGTATATCAATATTCTAATGAAATATTTATTGAATATTTGCTTTGTGTCTTGCATTTTCTCAAAATTTTGGGAACTTCTACTGTAAATGTGAAATTTTGTAAACCGTGGCGAGCTTGCCTTGAACTACAGTGTTGTTTGTGGTAGTAAATCGGACATCAAACAGAACCATCTCACCTTTATCTTCATAATCTGCCATGTTGTAACCTAGAATTTTAACACTGAACTGTGATTGGTTGGTAATAAAAGATTAACCAATCATTGCATAGTTTTAACAAACTGTTTAAGAAGATTAGTAGAGATGTGGAAGGTGTGAGAGAACACGCTTGAAACAGAATTAGATACAAATTGAAGTATTGATAAAGAGAGGTTGATGTCTCGAAGGATGGTTGTCTGTAGAAAAACATGTGTACAATCCGTGTTTACCTGCCCTAGTAACAAACTGCATTGTGTTTGGATTGCCGCATTTTTCAAAGATTACCTGGAAGTAGTTTTTCAGGAGAAGTTTGCTCAGGACAAAGTCATTTTACCAAATGAACTAGTGTGAGCTATTCACCTTGATTGCAGACAAACAATGAATGTTTGGTTTAGGCGTAGACGATTTTCGGATGTCGGGAGATATTCCTATAAACTTGATAATTGATTCTACAATCGAGAAAGGTGGTAAATTCGGCACTTTTTCTGTTTGAAACATTTTTGTAAATCCAATGTTAAAATTGTCGAAATCTTCGACTTTTGGTTTTGGTTTGTTTGTGATCATTTGGTTTATAAAATATTTGAGTGTTGGGAATTCAAACAATGAAGAACTTTGACTGAACGATTAAAATCAATAATTGTAGTATAATAACTATAGCGTCTCTTAAGACTGCATGTTTTCATTATTTACCATGATCTTAATGACATGCACGGAAACTGTTGTTCTAGCATCTAGAAACCTGTATTTATAATAGTTTTGACAATAAACACCTTGCAAATTTTTTTTCTATCTAATGCATTGCTTTGTTTTGGTAATTTTAAAACAAAATGATTTTGTGTTGCCTCATCTGAAGAAACTGTAATAGAAGCAGCAACTTTACAATGCATTCAATCTTCATTGTGGCTAATTACTGAATGAATATTAATTGAAACATTTTTGCAAAACAGTTAGTTGCACAGTTCAAAATGGGAAAAAAGTAAAAAAATTGGCTCTAGAAGGCACATTTTGAAGCGATTTTGCTGGGGTTTTCATTTTTGGGATCTCGCAAGAATATCCAATAGTTTAGCAGTTAAAAAGTTTTTAATGTTGAAAATTCATAGCACACATTTCTGAGCAGAATTGTCAAATATTCTATTTTCTCAGCTATTTGTCTGATTGTTTTGAAATTTTTGGTGGTGAAACAGATCACAACAGAATACAAATTAATATACTCAAAAACTTGGGATCACTTCCTGTTTGCACGAAATCAAGGTGCAAACTTCCGTTTGACTCACTTCCTGTGTTATGAATTAATGTAACTGAAACTTATTCTAATAGGTAGATATCGTTATGACTTAAAAAATTTATTACTATATATACACGACAATTGATAGTTTGGTCGCCATTTGATTTTCAAATTGTATTCAGAGATAGCAGCTTATTTGATTTTGATGATATTAGTGTCAAAAGAACCTAAAAATTTCATAAAAATATAGGAAGTTGATTTATTTATTCTGTGGCTGGTGGTATAAATGAAACATAAAATTATTTCTCTTTCAGAACACCTGTTTCCAATTGCAAGTATTTCAATAGATATTGTTAAAGTTGAATTTTTAAAATCTAATGTCAAGTCTGTTTCAAGTATTATTTATTAAATTTTGATTATTTAAATTCACAGTTATACAGTAGGTTGAGTTATATAAATTAATATTAATTATAGAGACAGCATTTTAATTTACTCCATCCTTCAGCAGTTTTTGTCAGAATTTTTATGAAATTTAGTGAGTATATTTTTATCCACAAGATTTTGTACAAGTAAAGCTGCTAGTACATGATTTCATTATTTCTTTCTTCTCAGGACCCTATTCTGTTATGTTCCCAAACTTTTGCTTCACATGTCATACACTGCTTTGTTTTCAGAATTTTTGTTTCAGTGCATTCTTTGAATGTTGAATGCAACTTTTCACTGATGTTTCAGGTAGGATACGCACTGCCTCATTGAAAATATCAAAATACGGCCTGAAACTAAATGGCAGAAAAATCTTTCCAGTAATCACAAGTGGCATTAATTTGATTATTCTTAATACTACCAACAAAGAACTATATATTCCTAGATTTTAATACCATCAGCAAATATGACAGAAAGAAAAATACACTATTCCATTGATTATACGTTTCCTATTGGGAGATGAAATATTTCTGCAATTTTAGATAAAATCTGAATCAACCGTATTTATTGAAATAAAAGTCCAATGAACTTGTTCTCAATTTAGGATTTTGATGAAAATAGATGTTTCTGTTTTGATCCGATTAAAAAGGATATTAGCTCTATTGAAATAATTCTGTGTATGGAAAGAAAAGAAGTTATTTGAAGATATAGTGCCAGCATGGTTCAGTGTGAATAGATTACTTACAAAAACTTCATGTTAAGATGACAGCAGTAACTGATATACTGTATAGTTGTGTGTATAATGCTCATTTTAGGTTTAGCAAAATTGGGGGATCAAATAGAGAGTAAATAAGTAATTTTAAGTTTTTTCAACAGAGGTTGCCAAATTAATATTGACGGTCCGTTGATTGCTGATGGTGGAAGGTGCTTTTGTGAAAAACTGGACCACAAATGACAAAGTTTTATTTCATTTTTATATGCCCAAATTGAGATGTGGACGTATATGTTGGTCCGTCTGTTCACATTTCTTGTAAGCACAATAGAGACTGTATGCCTGTATATATTGATGATATCTCTTTCAAGTTCAAATTGGATGATAATAATTGGAAGAACGGTTTCAGAGTTACTACCCTTGACTTAGTTTCAACAATTTCCCTTGTCATCAGAAGTTTATATAGTATACTACTCCTGAGTTTTATTTAGTAATAGCCCTTGACTTAGTAAGAACATGTCAAATGTGGCTTCTAGGCATGATGCATGTATATATTGATGAGATCTCAGTCAGGTTAAAAATTGGTAATAATCAGTTGAACGGTTTCAGAATTATTGCCATTGTGTGTATGTCAATGAGACGTTGTTCATGTTTGAATTTTGATGATAATTTGTTTTTAATGTTTTGTCTTGACTTGAATATTATTAAGTCACTAAAGACTTTGCTATCATTTCTGTCAGCTGATAGTGGGTGTATGTTACCTTGCCTGGCAAGCTATATGTCACACTGTTAAAGTCAGAGATCTACGTCAGCAGACATAGAAATATAATACATGTGACTTCAACATCATTTACAATCCATAAGGGATATAAGTTTGATCTAGTTTATACATTATCAGGTATGTGAAGTTTCTTTGAGGAATGTTGAGTTGATAAATCTAAATATTAAATATAATTCATTTTTGTATTATCTGAAAGGGTTATCAAGTTGACGAGCTATAAAGAACAGTGTCAGATAGTATGTTATGCCAAGGAGATAGACCCAAGTATAGAAGTAGCGTTTTTAATGTGGACTATCTAACAGAGATATAGAGTTAACAAATTAACCCATTTTGCATATCTGGCATCTCAAGAATTCATATAGTCAATATTACATTTTAACAAAAACCAGAATTATAATCATTTCATTTGTATATAGATTAGATTTTAAAGTGATACTACGTCTTAGAATGAACATAAAAAGTTCTCGAAAAGGTCAATATGAGTATATATTCATCAGTTAGCTTACCTGGTGTCATAAAGTTACAACAGAATCCCTGTAAAATCTGGAAAATTCATAAAACTAAGTAATTATTGAAACACGCTTAATCTTGATATTATCGGATTATATAAAGATCCTGTTATGTTATTTATGACACCCGGTATATCTACTGGCTCTTATTCGCCAAGTTTAAAATTCTAAAATTGTATGTTAATTCTAAGACGTAGCATCACTTTAGGTTTGAATTTTAAATATTGAATAGTCTTTGATAATTTTCATTGATTATTTTTGGTGTATTCAAGATGTAATCCCCTTTCTAAGCTTAATCCAAATCTCAATATTAATCATCTTATAAATTTGAGATGAAAAACTCAAGAGCTTATATATTTGTGCAACATGGCTTTCACTCCCACAAACAAATCAATTACTTCCTCTCTCTAACAGAAGGTTGTATAATACCCTGTTGGAACTTTGTATTTAGTCAATTTGACATTGGTTACAATTATAAGACATAACTGAATAGTGCCTCAAATTATTGTACAGCCTGTCTTCATTAGCCCACATGGTGCAGAAAATTAAGACATAAAACTCCATGCATTTCATTTCATTATAAGTTTATCCTATAATAAAGATGTAGAATATAATCAGTAGTATGATTAGAAGGTGAGCCAGTGGGCCATGACCCAAGTAGATAACTATTCCACTCACTGCAGACTGAGCTATTCAATTGTCCTAGCAGATAACTATCCCCCTTCTCTAGCAGATAACTATTTCCCCTTCTCTAGCAGATAACTATTCCCCTTCTCTAGCAGATAACTATCCAACTTAAACTGAGCTTTGCCCCTTCTCTAGCAGATATTTATCCCCCTTCTCTAGCAGATAACTATCCCCATTCTCTAGCAGATAAACTATCCCCCTTCTCTAGCAGATAACTAGCAGATAACTATCTCCCTTCTCTAGCAGATAACTATCCCCCTTCTCTAGCAGATAACTACCCCCCTTCTCTAGCAGATAACTATCCATCTTCTCTAGCAGATAACTATTCCCATTCTCTAGCAGATAACTATCCCCCTTCTCTAGCAGATAACTATCCATCTTCTCTAGCAGATAACTATCCATCTTCTCTAGCAGATAACTATTCCCCTTCTCTAGCAGATAACTATCCCCCTTCTCTAGCAGATAACTACCCCTTCTCTAGCAGATAACTATCCCCCTTCTCTAGCAGATAACTATCCCCTTCTCTAGCAGATAACTATCCCCCTTCTCTAGCAGATAACTATCCCCTTCTCTAGCAGATAACTATCCCCCTTCTCTAGCAGAAATCTATTACCCTTCTCTAGCAGATAACTACCCCCCTTCTCTAGCAGATAACAATCCAACTTCAAACTGAGCTTTCCCCCTTCTCTAGCAGATAATTATCCCCCTTCTCTAGCAGATAACTATCCCCCTTCTCTAGCAGATAATTATCCCCCTTCTCTAGCAGATAACAATCCAACTTCAAACTGAGCTTTCCCCCTTCTGTAGCAGATAATTATCCCCCTTCTCTAGCAGATAACTATCCCCCTCCTCTAGCAGATAACTATTCCCCTTCTCTAGCAGATAACAATCCAACTTCAAACTGAGCTTTCCCCCTTCTGTAGCAGATAATTATCCCCCTTCTGCAGATAACTATCCCCCTTCTGTAGCAGATAAATATCCCCCCTCTTTAGCAAATAACTATTCCCCTTCTTTAGCAGATAACTATCCCCCTTCTCTAGCAGATAATAATCCAACTCGCTACCTAGTTTGCCACTAGATAATTGACTTTATTTATTAGAGTAATGTTGGTAGGATATATGAGATCTCCAGAGAGTTCACCATACAATGATCTACAAGTATTAATTGAATTACATGAAAACTAATCATATCATTATCACTTGACATTACAACTTCTGTTTATCAAAATAGTGGAGATAAACATACTAGGATGATTCCACCAACTTCTACATGCTTTAGAATGGTTTAATAAAGGTCAATGCCATACAATGTACAATGAGGGAAATTTTACCAGGACAGAATCTTTTATTTATATGATAGAATTATGAAAATAGTGGTAATACTAATCCTTAGATGATTCCACCAAATAGAGTAAACTTTAGACTATTGTGTTACTGAATGGTTTAATGAAGGTCAATACCATACAGTGTACTATGAGGGAGAATTTTACCAGGACAGCATCTTTTATTCAACATGAATAGAGATTATACATTCTTCATCCAAAAATATAGATTGCTCCCCTGAAAACAGACCAATTCCCTTTCTGCAACTAAACACTATTGCCCTCCAAACAATCAAGTCTAGCTATGCGGCAGAACTGAGAAGTTAAAATAAAACTAAAAAAGATTTCTTTTAATGATTCCAATTTAGCTGCGATTTGTGCTGACAGGAACATTCTGTTATCTGTAGAAAAGAAATGAAGATATTCTCCGCCAAGAAATCAATAGGAATCATGGGATTAATACCCGTTATCAAGAAGAAATCTTCGTTATTTTTACTCCTAATAATTAGCTAATGTGTCTCTTGATAATACAGTATCAAAACAAAATTAAACTCGCATTATTCTTATTCTGATTTATCATTGTTTCTTTTACAACTTAGTTCAAAGTATAACAACTTATTTTAAAGGATAACAACTTATTTTAAAGGATAACAACTTATTTTAAAGTATAACCACTTATTTTAAAGGATAACAACTTATTTTAAAGGATAACAACTTATTTTAAAGGATAACAACTTATTTTAAAGGATAACAACTTATTTTAAAGGATAACAACTTATTTTAAAGGATAACAACTTATTTTAAAGGATAACAATTTATTTTAAAAACGATAAATAATTTGAAAATATAACAACTTATTTAGGTATAACAAGTTTTAGTTATAACAAATTTAATTTTTAGGTATAACTAATCTTTTGGGGGTAAAATATATTATTTATCGTGTATCAAATTACTTTAAGACACTATTTTATTATATACATGTGTTATCTTATTGAACTTATACTGGGAGATTTCAATATTGCACTTAAGAGAATTGAAAATCCATAGACAAATGAGTGAAGTTCAACCATTGTGTCCATTTGAACCATTCGAGTCCCTGCAGCAGTTGGTTTTCTGTTATACTCATTCTTTTAAAGACAATATCTGTATAGGTTTATTGATTGGTTCAAGGTTATAAATATGTATTGTAAATAATATTAAGAAGTAATATAGGATTTGATATGGAATATTGGAATCAAATCATACATCATATAAATCTTGTTTTTATCTTGACAGTAATTACCTACTAGCATGTCAGGTTTACTATTATCTATAGGTAGGTTTCATTTACAAACCACCAACTTTACCTACTAGCATTTCAGATTTATTATTATCTATAGGTGGGTTGTATTTACAAACTACCAACCCTACCTACCAGCATTTCAGATTTACTATTATCTATAGGTGGGTTGTATTTACAAACTACCAACCCTACCTACTAGCATTTCAGATTTACTATTATCTATAGGTGGCTTTCATTTACAAACTACCAACCCTACCTACTAGCGTATCAGATTATCTAGTGGTGGCTTTCACCATCGCCTTTGTCTTCAGGTGTCAGATTTGTGTCAAAGTCATTTATTCATTAGTTCAGGTGGGTCGTCAAAACTTCATTAACATCATTTATTAACTTTATTCATTAGTTTAGGTGGGTCATTTTAGTACAACTATTTGACCATATATAGATCTACAGAAACAATTGTTCATTCTCTTACTTTTTATAGAAAAACTGATTTAATTAATAAAAACTTGATATGTGATTTATGATGCTGATTGAAATTTCTCTGACTTGATTATTTAAAATCATGAATAATAGAATAGAAACATACATTGATACTTCGATTCCAACAAGTTCTCAGACATGTTAAAATGTTACAATGTTAAAATGGTTCGATAAGTGAGTAATTTAAAATTACTAAATTAACATTATTGTCTGTTCTTCTGACCAAGAAGGATGAGAGAATAGACCCAATCGTAAGGTTCTATCAGGTGTTTCAGGTGATAAATCCTGCAAAATCTTCAATGAGCTTCTAGACTTTGACTTTAAAGCTTACAACAGGGATCTTAGACTTACTCTTCTTAGAACAATTCCTCTATTTTTCTGGCCAGTGGTATTTTTTTTATTTTCAAATAAACCTTTAAAAATTTGGTTTTAGGAATGAAAAGTTTTCTATATGGAAAATGACTTAGAGAATCTTAAAATGGATAGATCTCCCCCTGTAGTGTAAAGGTGATAATAGACGAGGTGCTGTGTACAGTGTGGGATTGTCAATATAGTAGAAAATAGAAGAAACGAACCATGGCCGCAAAGTGTTCGGACCCATACCTCATGTGTTCACTTTGTACTGATTATTCCGCACTGGACACTGTCCCTCATTTATTCGCGGATTAAGTCATCTCATAAGAGCCTGCTACACCTTGACCTTCAACTCCTATTTTCCATTTTTTTTTATTCCTCACTGGGATCCTTGTTACAGGTCAAAGAATTACTAAACTTGACTTTAGATGTATTCTCCAGACTCCAGTCATGCCAAACCCAGGATTCCAAAATTTAAATCTGAGACATAAGCCAGCTTTTGTAATTTTTCATAACTTGAAATGCCATAATAAGTCCTTTGTTTGAGATTTCTGTACCGTAATGCAAAGTCTTTGCTGAAAAATGTTTTTGATCCTTCTGTTTTATATTTCATTTACCAGAAATTGTCTACATCAGCTGTTGATCTTAGTAAACTTTTAAATAGCAGTCTCTTATCTTTTTTTATGAATGATCTGTTAGTCCATTTGTCCCAATTCACTTCATTATCACCAGGCATTTTGCATCTATATGTTTTCTATTAGTTTTTTCTATGACAGATTATTTTTTAAGTGTTTACCCATGTGATGTGCTATAGAGTAACCACTTTATTTGGATCAATTAAAAATAGACCAGTGAAATGGTTTGTATGTCTTCTATTTTATTGAACACACCAACATCATATGGGCGTATAAAAAAGTCATTTTGCATCTGTTATTGAGCATTAGACTTATTCTACAATTTCAATCAATTTCAGGTTTTATAAAGTCAATAAATAGCTCTTGGAAAATTTTCTTTAAGACCCTTGTAAGACAAAGTTTTGGGTATGAAGCTATTAATAACCATCGAACATGAACCCTAGTCTTACGCTCAAAATCAAATGTTGATGATCATTTCTATAGAGAATTATGTTTGGTACAATAACAGTTTTCTGTGGTCAGAGTGCCCTGGCTGGAAGAGAATGATGGTTATTGAAAATGACATTACGTGATATTTGTTGTATTCAAGCTGGGCTTTAAACTGTTTTTGACAAGATGTTATTAAGTTAGAATGTCTATTGATGAAATCCAGACTACATTTATTATCATTATAGATACTAGTGCTGGCACCATATATCAGTTAATTGATGTACACGATACACGTATCGTATCACGACACCATGTATCGATACACGTATCGTATCACGACATCATGTATCGATACATGCCGCTTTTATTCCCTAAAAATGTGGGGATTTTTATAAGTTGGTTTATGATAAAACAATTGTTTTTACTGCAATTGTTAGAAGACAATGGACGCTGACCACTTCTATCAACTATATTACCAAATATCACAGTTATAAAGTTATGAATTAATATATATAGAAACTATTTATAAGATAGTGGACACTAACCACTTGTATCAACTATATTACCAAATATCACAGTTATAAAGTTAGAAACTATTTATAAGACAGTGGATGTTAACCACTTCTATCAACTATATTACCAAATATCACAGTTATAAAGTTATAAATTAATATATAAAGAAACTATTTATAAGACAGTGGACGCTAACCACTTCTATCAACTATATTACCAAATATCACAGTTATAAAGTTATAAATTAATATATATAGAAACTATTTATAAGATAGTGGACACTAACCACTTCTATCACCTATATAACCAAATATCACAGTTATAAAGTTATAAATTAATATATATAGAAACTATTTATAAGACAGTGGACGCTAACCACTTCTATCAACTATATTACCAAATATCACAGTTATAAAGTTATGAATTAATATATATAGAAACTATTTATAAGACAGTGGACGCTAACCACTTCTATCAACTATATTACCAAATATCACAGTTAAAAAGTCATAAATTAATATATATAGAAACTATTTATAAGACAGTGGACGCTAACCACTTCTATCAACTATATTACCAAATATCACAGTTATAAAGTTATAAATTAATATATATAGAAACTATTTATAAGACAGTGGACGCTAACCACTTCTATCAACTATATTACCAAATATCACAGTTATAAAGTTATAAATTAATATATATAGAAACTATTTATAAGACAGTGGACACTAACCACTTCTATCAACTATATTACCAAATATCACAGTTATAAAGTTATAAATTAATATATATAGAAACTATTTATAAGACAGTGGACGCTAACCACTTCTATCAACTATATTACCAAATATCACATTTATAAAGTTATAAATTAATATATATATAGAAACTATTTATAAGACAGTGGACCATAACCACTTCTATCAACTATATTACCAAATATCACAGTTATAAAGTTATAAATTAATATATATAGAAACTATTTATAAGACAGTGGATGCTAACCACTTCTATCAACTATATTACCAAATATCACAGTTATAAAGTTATGAATTAATATATATAGAAACTATTTATAAGACAGTGGACAGTAACCACTTCTATCAACTATGTTACCAAATATCACAGTTATAAAGTTATAAATTAATATATATAGAAACTATTTATAAGACAGTGGATGCTAACCACTTCTATCAACTATATTACCAAATATCACAGTTATAAAGTTATGAATTAATATATATAGAAACTATTTATAAGACAGTGGACGCTAACCACTTCTATCAACTATATTACCAAATATCACAGTTATAAAGTTATGAATTAATATATATAGAAACTATTTATAAGACAGTGGACGCTAACCACTTCTATCAACTATATTACCAAATATCACAGTTATAAAGTTATGAATTAATATATATAGAAACTATTTATAAGACAGTGGACGCTAACCACTTCTATCAACTATATTACCAAATATCACAGTTATAAATTTATAAATTAATATAAAAATATATAGAATATAGAAAAAATGTTAATTTTGTATCGCGATACATATTGTATCTAGGCATGATTGACAATACTCAGCACTGAAAGATACATTGCGTCCAGACACAACAACGATTTTACATCAAAGACTGAAAATCTGATGCTACCTTATCCGAATTTAACTTAAGAACACAAGTTATATATACTTATATATACTTGTATATTCATATAACTTGTGTTCTTAATGTTAACCTTTCTACTTCTATATGTTATAGAAAGATTATAATTAAACTTAAATTACGATTTCATCTCTCTTGTTTTCTGAAATTTTTAGTTTACATTTGAATCTAACAAGTTTTTTTACCAAATGCCTGCACTAAAGGTAGTATTTTAAACCGTGTCATGTAAAACCCAAATCTTGATAAGATAGGGAATTGTGGGATAGCGAAACTCAAATGGGCTGTCATGTTGCTCTAATTTTATAATCTAATTTTAGATGATAAGAATGACCTTGACCTGTCTCAAAGTACTATTGTTCTAAAAACCCATAATGGCTCAATATTATTGAAAGTTACACTATTTGTTATTCAAAATCCATAAACAGTCAATATTAATTAAATTAGATTATGATGTAATGTGTTGATACAAGGCAATTTAATTTAACCTTGAGATAGGAACTAGAGATATTCCTCTCTATACCAACCTGGGAGCTCAGGTTGGCTCAGTGAGTTACACGCTTGCTCGCTAACCTGAAGGTCCAGTGTTCAATCCTGGCCTAGATCGAGATAATACCTTCGGTTTCCCCTGTCAGTGATGAAGGTAAGAGGGGCTGACATGGAAAAAGCGTCTAGTCGTTGGGTCGGCTGGGACAATAAACCAAGGCCTCGTTAAAGATCCCTCGACAGTTGGAATCGAAAAAGGGCATGCTAATGCCGCTGTCCTGGCAAAATTTCCCTCATCGCACCCTGCATGGCGTTGCCTGTCTTCATTAGCCCACATGGTGCAGAAAAGTAGGACGTAAAACTCCATTCATTTCATTTCATTTCATTTTCTCTATACCAACCTGACATGAACCAATCGAAATAATTATTCTAAATTCATTGATTATGATAAACAGCAACTTAACTTTACCCTCAATCATTTGGTCAATAATAAATGGACAAAAAATGAAATTTTTCTAAAAATATAAAATCAATAAAAAATCATTAAAATATTTGAGATAAAAGTATTATTTTTTGTTTATAACAATTAACATGATATATATATTGTATTGTGACATGATTAACAAATCCCAGCTTTACAAAAAGCCATGAATATTTGATTTTGTATTTCTTCCTGGGAGCCATCGTCTATTTAAGGATTCTCAGTTCTCCTTCTTGATTAAAATGGTTTATCTGGGTTTCTCTAATTCAAGCCAAAGTTAAGGTGACCCATACAGCATGGACCATTCTTTTGCAACCACCTGTGTTAGAGGGGAACAGCTGGCATTTTTGGAATTTATTATACTTTAATAGTCTTCAGAAGTACTAAAACACACGAAAATCACATTATCCCTTCAAATATACCTCAAACTAACAATTTCACTGTCTATTCCTATATTATGTGTTTTCTATATATGGTATATTCTCACTCTTGAATTTTTAACTTTCAAACATGAATAATTATGGATACACATGAATTTGAAGGCTTATATTTCCACGATGAGCTGTGAACACTATTACTGATTAGGTAAGCTAAAAAAAATTCCTGTTTCTGAAATTAAGGTATGATTGGTCAAACGGATAGTGAAGCTGCTCCTTTAAGGAATTATGTATATTTGTGACCCCATACATCATATCAGGTATTAAGTTGCACTGTCCAGTGGCAGTGAAGAATCTGGATATTAAATTGATTCTGATCAGAGAAAGCTATTGTGATGATATTGTTATCAAAATGTAGCTGATGATGCCAGGAATCCAAATATACTAATAGTTCTACATACACCAAATGCTACTTAATACCTGGTTTGATGTGCGGGGTCACATTTGTCCTCTTTTAAATGGACCATTCTTTTGCAACCACTTTTGTTATGTATATTTGTCCTATTTTAAATGTTTAAAAATTGACTCATGAATAGAACAAAGCTTTCCTATAAAAATTAACAATTCTAAAAAAGGTAAAATAACTCAACAAACTTTTTCAAAGTCTGAAGTTCTAATTTTATCAAATCTTTTAAGTCTTAAACACAGAAAAGCCACTTTTTATAAAAAAAATTCTTCAACTTTTCAGCTATTTTGACATGGAACATTTGCCTAAAGAAATTAAACAAATACTCGCTGTTTGTTGTCGGTTGCAAGACTGGTGCGAAAATCTCCAGTCTTTATTTGAGCTATGAAAATATGCAGGAAAAATACAAGTGACTTTTTATTGAATAAATTTAGCACGGTTGAAAATAGAATTGAAAGTTCAGTGACAATAATCTGTTTGTAGCCTATTTTCGAGCTTTTCTTTCTGTTAAATTTGATAATTGGCTTTCTCAGCATTTTTAAGAATTAAAACTCTGCATACGGATCTCCCACAATCCATTACTTGTAATATTTTATTGACATTCTCACAGACAGTATTAATCAAGGTCTTTGTGATCTCAGTAATATCTTAATATTGTAAGTTCAATCATACCGTCATAAGCTCTTTTAGAGAGCTTCAGTACTAGTCTGTTAGAGAGCTTTAGAACAAGTCTGTGAGAGAGCTTTAGAACAAGTCTGTGAGATAGCTTCAGTACTAGTCTGTGAGAGAGCTTTAGAACAAGTCTGTGAGATAGTTTCAGTACTAGTCTGTTAGAGAGCTTTAGAACAAGTCTGTGAGATAGCTTCAGTACTAGTCTGTGAGAGAGCTTTAGAACAAGTCTGTGAGATAGTTTCAGTACTAGTCTGTTAGAGAGCTTTAGAACAAGTCTGTGAGAGAGCTTCAGTACTAGTCTGTTAGAGAGCTTTAGAACAAGTCTGTGAGAGAGCTTTAGAACAAGTCTGTGAGAGAGATATAAAACAAGTCTGTGAGAGAGCTTCAGTACTAGTCTGTGAGAGAGCTTTAGAACAAGTCTGTGAGAGAGATATAAAACAAGTCTGTGAGAGAGCTTCAGTACTAGTCTGTGAGAGAGCTTTAGAACAAGTCTGTGAGAGAGCTTCAGTACAAGTCTGTGAGATGAGAGATATATAGAACAAGTCTGTGAGAGAGCTTTAGAACAAGTCTGTGAGAGAGATATAGAACAAGTCTGTGAGAGAGCTTCAGTACTTGTCTGTGAGAGAGATATAGAACAAGTCTGTGAGAGAGCTTCAGTACTAGTCTGTGAGAGAGCTTTAGAACAAGTCTGTGAGAGAGCTTCAGTACAAGTCTGTGAGAGAGCTTTAGAACAAGTCTGTGAGAGAGCTTCAGTACTAGTCTGTGAGAGAGCTTTAGACCAAGTCTGTGAGAGAGCTTTAGAACAAGTCTGTGAGAGAGCTTCAGTACTAGTCTGTGAGAGAGCTTTAGAACTAGTCTGTGAGATAGCTTTAGAACAAGTCTGTGAGAGAGATATAGAACAAGTCTGTGAGAGAGCTTTAGAACAAGTCTGTGAGAGAGATTTAGAACAAGTCTGTGAGAGAGCTTCAGTACTAGTCTGTGAGAGAGCTTTAGAACAAGTCTGTGAGAGAGCTTCAGTACAAGTCTGTGAGAGAGCTTTAGAACAAGTCTGTGAGAGAGCTTCAGCACTAGTCTGTGAGAGAGCTTTAGACCAAGTCTGTGAGAGAGCTTTAGAACAAGTCTGTGAGAGAGCTTCATTACAAGTCTGTGAGAGAGCTTTAGAACAAGTCTGTGAGAGAGCTTTAGAACTAGTCTGTAAGAGAGCTTTAGAACAAGTCTGTGAGAGAGCTTCAGAACTAGTCTGTAAGAGAGCTTTAGAACAAGTCTTTGAGAGAGCTTTAGAACAAGTCTGTGAGAGAGCTTTAGAACAAGTCTTTGAGAGAGCTTTAGAACAAGTCTGTTAGGGATATAGCTTTAGAGCTTTAGCACAAGTCTGTGAGAGAGCTTTAGAACAAGTCTGTTAGGGATATAGAACAAGTCTGTGAGAGCACATGCTTGGCTACAGTCATCTGCCATGGACTGATCTTTCAATCCAGAAAGCATAAAATAACATTTAAGCAACAAAAAATAGTTTAGTTATTAGGTGATGTGTTTGTTCGCTCAAACGTATGCAAATGTACTGTACTTCAGTTTTTGACATGGTTTTTTAAAGGGACAGATGTGCTATTTTTGTCTTTTCTATATATCACAGAGTATCCTATATTGACGAGTCGTCATTTTAACATTCAAATAATTCTGGACACGGGTGAATTTGAATGCTCAAATTTCGACGGTGTGCTGTGAACACTATTACCGATTAGCTCAGCTAAAAAAAATCCAGTTTCTGAGACTAAAGTATTGGTCAAAAAAATGGCCTACCTGTGCCTTTAATATTGAGACTTACATGTTATGAAATGATCTCATCTTTCAATTCTTATTTTACAGAGCTTTTTTTCATCGACTATAAAGTTAGCAATAAGAACTGTAGTTGTGATGTTTGTTGTTTATTTTTGTGATGGAATGATAAAGATTGTTAAATAAATCTATATTGTCGACTGACTTAAACCTGAGTAAATATCATCCATGTTTGATTTGATCAGAGTAGCAATTACCTCCCTTTCTTTTATCATCAGCTAATTTAAATATTTAAAAATGGGATTGTCTCGGCTGAAGAAAGATTGCGATAACAACAAATATTGTGATTGAAGGATTTCAAGCCATCAAGATCTAAAATCAGTTTGTTTTGGTGAGATATTTTTTATACTGAACTTTTCTGTTTTGTTGAATACATCAATTGAATGTTTTAATATCTAATTATGCTAGAAATATAACTGTTATATAAAATAATATCATAAAAACTTTATTAGAATCCTAGTTACACATGGCAATCTTCCCTGAGATCATTCTACTTCAAGAGTTAGTGCCCTTGACACTTAACTACTGTTCTTAGTGTTGGGTGTTTTAGAAATACTCCCCTATAGAAGCAGTGGCCTTACTGATATTGTATTTTGGTTATGAATAGATTGATTCAATATATAAATGGTGGCAATTTATTCATTCAGGAGTAACTTCTTTTTAGTTAATATTTTATTGATTTAGATATTTTCAATATTAAATATTGACAAGAAATGAATAAGAAAAAAAAAAGATTAAAAAGATTGTGTTTGTTCAAGGTAGAATTAAGCTGGTCAGAACTCCGGGAGCTATTTATTGACTTTATAAAACCTGAAATTGATTGAAATTGTAGAATAAGTCTAATGCTCAATAACAGATGCAAAATGACTTTTTTATACGCCCACATGATGTTGGTGTGTTCAATAAAATAGAAGACATACAAACCATTTCACTGGTCTATTTTTAATTGATCCAAATAAAGTGGTTACTCTATAGCACATCACATGGGTAAACACTTAAAAAATAATCTGTCATAGAAAAAACTAATAGAAAACATATAGAAAAAGAATTACATCATTGAACTGACATTTCATGTGTGTCTGCCCCTGAGGAAGGGGGCCTTTGTGCTCTTGAAACATGTTGGACACATGAAATGGGGGGGCGTATATTGTCATCAGCCAAATCGATTGCATAAAAAACCATGACAAATCGATTTGCCAGGCAATTTCTACTTTCTGCTGTAATGTCATAATTAGATAACTAGTTCAGCTCTAAGCTTTCATATGCTTCACCACACCTCCTGCCTGTTCCCTCACATCAACCAACACTCCCCCAATAAATGGTTTGAACAAATCGATTTGCCATGCAATTTCTACTTTCTGCTGTATTGTCATGATCAGATAACTAGTTCAGCTCTAAGCTTTCATATGCTTCACCACACCTCCTGCCTGTTCCCTCACATCAACCAACACTCCCCCAATAAATGGTTTGAACAAATCGATTTGCCAGGCAATTTCTACTTTCTGCTGTATTGTCATAATTAGATAACTAGTTCAGCTCTAAGCTTTCATTTGCTTCACCACACCTCCTGCCTCTCATCAACCAACACTCCCCCAATAAATGGTTTGAACAAATCGATTTGCCATGCAATTTCTACTTTCTGCTGTATTGTCATGATTAGATAACTAGTTCAACTCTAAGCTTTCATATGTTTCACCCCACCTCCTGCCTCCCTCACATCAACCAACACTCCCCCAATAAATGGTTTGAACAAATCGATTTGCCAGGCAATTTCTACTTTCTGCTGTATTGTCATGATTAGATAACTAGTTCAGCTCTAAGCTTTCATATGTTTCACCCCACCTCCTGCCTGTTCCCTCATCAACCAACACTCCCCCAATAAATGGTTTGAATATAAAGACAATATCGATGGACACATAATTACCAGTTATCAATTTATTGAGCCATTAAAACATTCAATAAAATGATCTAAGATTAAACCATATGTGACAATATTTCTAAATAATTTGTCAGAGACAGGTGTGAGAGAAATTAGCCATAATAAAACTCAGTCTTGCCTGTTTGTTTTATACTCAAACAATTATTATAATATCATTTCACTGTAAATAGTCATTTAGATCACTGATATATCACTCAAGATTTTCTTTAAAAAAATAAAGAAAAAATCATTATTTTGAAAAGATTTTAATAGTATTTAAAGTGTCCAGGTAAACCAGAAACATTATACGTATTATTGTGAA